GACCGGACACATGGGTGGTATCGTGGTGAAATCAGGCTCTCGTCAAAATAATGAAATAGAAGAAACCGACATTTTTCCGCTCCTAGGGCAATTTTTACCGGGAATTTTATAAAGCTCAACACATTCTATGTCTATATTTAAAAAGAGGTTTTTGTGCGTATTTTTCTGAAAAATGTTGATCAAAGGCGTACAAAATGTAAATTTTCAGTTTGCAAAGACACTCGAGCTTTGGAAGTGATCAACCTTTGATGGCCATTTTCTCCTGTTGAAGGCATTTTTTAGAAAACACTTAAGTAAGGTGTTAGGAACCCATTCTTCAATATTTTTATTACTTCCTTGGGGAATATCGATCCTCTTCATTCACTGGCCCTTGACTCGCCAAGTATGTACCATCAACAATGACTTCCTTGTGTGCCTTGCTTTTCCACTTCTCGCTTGAGCAGATAATGAAGAGTCTAACGACCATTGTAAGTAGCAACGCCTTTCTAAGAACGTAGGAACCAAAGTCTATACATGAATACATGTAACACCGGGCAGCGAATATCGAGTACTGGAAGGGGAACCTGGCGGAACAACAGGTCCACACCAGCTATACACAAAAACAAGTTGTGAATCCAAAGAGTCGGTTAGGGCTTTTAACTCTTTACAGACGTGAGAGACAAATGATGTTGCATCGTGGTGAAATCAGGCGATTGTCATAATAATGAAATCGAAGAAAATGGCTTTTTTCTTTCCGTCTGGCAATGTTGTCTTTTTTTTTTTGGCCAACACCTTTAAATAAATGTCCATTTAAAAACACATTGCTATGTAGCTTTTACTGAAAAACGTTGATTAAAGGCAAAAAAAATGTAAATTTACAGTAGCCAGGGACTCTGAAGCTTTGGAAGTCACCAAACTTTGGCGACCATTTTCTTACTAACTTTATCTCTCAAACCAGGTGACCCCCACCTCCTTCAATCCGAAATATCTCGGCTTCTTTTGAAGATAGTTGGGCAATCGTTTCATAGACAGCAAGACAATTGGACAAACTTTTAGCTGATACCAATAAATGAATAAAAAATACGACGGACATGTGTGTGCGATCAGAAAGCTAAAAGCTCTATCCGAACCATCATCACATACTATTCAGAAACAGGAAACGAGCAATGGTTTCACGGGGCAAATTTCAAGATCGGGCACGGGGCTCTCGTGGTCTGCAGGTATGGTGTTCGCCTCTTATTCAATAGGATCCGGGTTCGAAACCTGACAGCGACGGAACATTTTCTTCTCTAAATATTTCCCTTTTCACTTATCGTCTTGTTCTCTTACCATGTTGTGCCTTCTACTTTCTTTTCCACTTTCTGACTCCCCCCCCCACCTTTGCCCCTCCTCTATGCTCTTTCTGCACCCTTTCTACTGCGACCCCTTCTTACTGCCGTCTTTCAGCCGCACGCCTGAACTAAGGGTAGGTGACATCTTACACTATCCTTTTTGGGTAAGGGCGAAAAAATCTCGGAGCTCCTGTGTGCAAGTTGTGCACGTTGAAGATCCCTTGGTGGTCATAAAATCGACAAGAGTAGGCTTTGGCCGCTAGCCGGGCAAAATTCAATACATCTACCAAATTGAAATAATGTTTAATGTGTCCCGGGCGCTCAAAGGACCTTATCAAGTGGCTTCGTAAAATACTTACCAGCAAACAAAAAACAAAACAAACAAGAAAATAAATAAAAGCAACAACCCCCCTTCCCAAGTTTGCAGTGTACAACACAAACAGAACAAAGAATGAATGTTGGCGCTCATATGACCGTAGGAAGTTGCGAGAGCCGTAAAACCTCTACTAAAACTACGAACAATGATTGCTCAGTACCCGACCAAGATCCCCTTAACACACGCACATTCGGGGTCTCCAGTTTCAGTGGGGCTATATTATTATTCGGATCAGTCATTCACGAAAGAGGTTTTTAACCCTAAGTCGTGTTTTACTATCGTGTCCATACGACGTGGGGAACTCTCTGCCACCACTTTCCAAAGTGGAAATTTACTCGTTAATCCGATCCGTACGCTTTGCATTGCGGTCTGTCAAAATGGTTTTTTGAGAAAAACTGAGTTTCGAAGAGATATTCGTACTAGAAGTATTCTACAAAGTGAAGAATACAACCCCGTGAGTACAAACTGAGCCAAGGGCGTACGGATAGGGTTAAACGTGTTATCATAATGGGTTATGACGAATATTCGAAAGCGACAGGCTAAGTTCATTGGATACACAAAGCGGAAAGAAGCATTAGAGAATATTGTAACAACCGGCAAGTTTGATGGATAGAGAGGCAGATGCAGACAGAGGGAAAATATACTAGACAAGTTGACAACATGGCTGGGAATAGCAAGAACGACAGACACCATCGCTGCAACGCAAGACAGAGTGAAGTGGAGATCGCCCACGCCAGTCGTCAAGGCACCGGATTATGACGATCATAATGGAGGGGGGGGGG